GGGGGGATGGTTACAGCAGCAACAGCCTACTAGGTTACGGTCTATGGAGGCGGTGTAACGACAAGGAGACCAACCCAGCATGTGAAAACATTGAAGGCTGGAACTTGCGTGAGTATTCTGGAGTGTTCGGGTACTCACACATTAGTAACGCATCTTTCTTAGTTTGAATTCAGAATTATTTTTTTTTACTACCATTATCATCACGGAAAAAAAAAATCATAGGATTTCTTTTACATGAATAGTTTTTCTTTTGGCTAAATGATTGCTATAGGGAAAGCGGGGAATAAGAGAGACCATCTAGCTACCATTACATATGCTACTTGTTGAGGGGCGGGGTTAGTGCTAATATGTTTATATTACGTCATTATTTGTTGTGAATGTTTTTGTGAATAGCACTTGACATGATGTGACGTAATAAAAGCAAAGTTTTCAATGTCTTCTTATATCAACACTATAGACATAAATAAATATAGACTGGCCGATAAAAGAGTGTTATGAAACGAAAATTAGTGACTTGCAATTTTGTGTACTTTATTTATACAGCAGAGTACTTTTGTTTTTGTTTCTCGTGTGGAGTTTTTGATCTCCCATCGAGCGCCTCCCCAGGTGGCGGATAGGGGAACGCCCTCCAGATATGGTGGGTACCGGGGAAATAAAATACCCGGGGTGGACCAAAATCAAACCTGCTGCCTTGCAGGAAGTGGAGGGATCCACAAAGACTAGGGAACCTTACCCGAAAATAAAGGCAGCTATCCAGAGAGCTGAAAGGGGCAGCCCCCCAGATGGTTATGCACAGGGCTAACAACTCTGTCATTTAAAAAATACTGTTACGAAAGCTAATACACACAAGAAAACCCGGACAGATCTCAATGGAAAACGACCTAGGCCTGGAAAGGACATGATTTTTGTTTTGCGACATGGAACGTGCTAAGTCAAACAACAGAGGGGCGAAAATCGTATACAGGCAAAAACCAAAAGGCAGGCGACCCATAGACCCCGAATGCGATGGATAGATGATGTGGAAGCAGATCTGAAGCAGCTTGGGGTTAGGGCGTGGAGACGAAAGGCCCAGGAGAGATCTGAATGGAAGGATGTGTTAAAGCAGGCCAGAGCCCTCCATGGGTTGTAGCGCCACTGGGATGGATGGATGGATGTAGTTTTGTTTAATCTCTAAGACTGAAGATCATGCAACTTTTCAATATTCGGAAATCCAACAACAATAGATATAGTATGATATACATGTTTTCAAGTTACATACAAGAAGTTATTTCCTTTTTCCAGTCTATATTATTTTATGTCTATGATCAACACAAAGTCTCTGCAATATTATTTTCATATTTAATTGTCTACAGTAATTTATTTATTCTTTGTGAAAACAGATCACGGTGTCAGATCTCCTATTATAATCAGATATCGAACGATTTATAAACTAGTGAAAAAAAAAACAAACCCTATGTTTTAGATATATCCGAACATGTCTACAAATATATTTTTCAGACTGGTACAGGGCGGTGCAAGCCTTTGCCATCTTTGGCTTTGTCAGTGTCAACTTCTGCCTGTTCTTTGTTCTCCTGTTGATGTTTGTTGAGTCTTGCAGCAAAGGGAGATCACTGAGTCTCTGGGTGTCTGTGCTGGGATTTTGGTCAGGTGAGGCAACAGAATGGCTTGTCTATGAATAGATTTTATTTTTACTTTCTACGCTTTTAAATTAAAATTTACAGTTCGTTTTCTTTTAGCTAGGTAAACTATTAGAGAATGTTTCAACTCCATGTACTATTCAAGATCTATTCAACATGCGTTGTTTACCAAATTAACTCTTGCGCACCAGTACAGTTAGTCAAGTAGTAATATACCACAAGGCTAACACCATAGACGATAACACTCTATTCATACACTGATGTCCTGCACGTTTGAATTTAATTATTATGAATGTATTTTTTAAAATATAATTAAAAGATATATTTAAAATAAAACACTTTTATTTCTATGCACTAAAAAAAACGGGAATCGCATAAATAAATAAGGTGTGAAGCACTTTAAAAAAAAAAAAGAAACTGTTTATTTCTTCCTCAGTGTATAACAGTATCTATTGTTACGAATCTCACTATCCAGGCTCTCTGCAAACTGTACCTTACACCACCAACTTAAAGAACTTGACAACTCAGGGCTCTAAAGTAACGTAACGCTTTAATGGTTGAATAAATAACAGCCAATACTGTACAATTGGCAACACGTACACTGTACAAATATCTTTCCGATAACACCGTACCGCCGTATCAACTCTTGCACTGGCCTCTCCGTCTCGTTCCGGGCTTGCACTGGGTTCAACAGTTCAGGACTGACTTCACACACTAGGCTCGTTGTGTCGGACTCGATCGCAGACCAAGATCAAGACGCCAGTCGTCTCAACTGTACCTGACAGTAATCCGCACTGAACCGTCGTAATGCTCCGTACAGAACCACACCGCTGAACTGTGCTGTAGTCGACCGTGTTCTGAACCCCTGTCGTGAACCTTCTGTCGCGAACCTTGCTGTATTGAGCTCCTTTTCTCCACCGTCTAGACTGCGACACCTCCGCTCTTATATAGGGTCCCTACTGGCCTTCTAGAACCGGACGGAACATCGCTCGACGTTTCTAGCTTCGTCACATGACTACATCCTTCGTGACGCTCTTGAGCTCTGTTCACGACGGCGATCCTTCCCGAACCGTCCTGTTGACACTCGACTCGGCTGACCGTCGTAACTCGTCACGGTTGACCGCTCGTCTAGCGCTGGCCTGGGGCGATTTGCGTCGGCTGATTACACTCACACCACAACCCCCCTCTGTGCCACCACCAAATTTATAACACTATTATGTCTAGCTAGTCACTAACTAATCAATAAATCGTATTGTATCGTAAGTGCATGATTTCCGCCCGAAATGACTGCATCCAATGGACCTCATTCACCAATCGTAAACAAACAACATTTAGTCACGTGGTCTTATTGATAAAACAACGGGAAAAACTGTCACGTGACAACCATCCTGAATTAAACATGAGATCGTAAATTATATAAAAGAGATAGAGCACCACGTGCTAAATGTTGTTTGTTTACGATTGGTGAATGAGGTCCATTGTGGCACATCTTAGACTTCTAGTCCCGCTAGCCATCATTACTCCAGCATTTCTGTCTACTGTAATTACGTCATTCTTAAACTGTTTCAAGGCCAGCGTCTTTATAATAAGAGATTTGTAAATTAAACATTAATTATGGCTGCGCACGAGCGAAACTGATTGACGTCGATCTTCAGAGTCACGGAATAGATAACATACTGCTTGACGTTTGATTCACTGGTCTTAGGGGGAAAAGGGTTAATTAAATTAAAAGGCTTTAAATTTAGTAGCATAAATGTTTCCATTGATAAGCATTGTTGATCACGTAAATTGTGGATTACGTAAATTTCTGAGAGTATACTCCATTGGCAGACACTGGTGACTTAAGCAAGCTTCTACAGGCGCGCGCAGTTCGAAACCAATTTCCTATCTAGGCCTATCTAAATCGCGCTCTTTTGTTTCGACCAGCACAAGTTAGGGCTGTTGTAGAGTTAAAGAAAGGTTTGGGTTTAAGTCTAAACCCCACAACAGCGTTAGCCTACATTTTAAACAGTCTCCTCGAAAGAAAATGTGTCCGTTCAAAAGAAAGTTCACGAACTTCTCTTTCCAAGCCAGCTACACTGCCGCACCAAGACATGAAAGGAAAACGACTTATCCGAGACTGTCAGTTATTAGAGTCGTACAATGGTTGACCAAATAAAAGAAAATTTAATTGCAGCTGTTTTTTTATACACAGCACCATGGACCGGCCTTGGGCATAGGTAAACTAAGCAGCGCCTAGGGCTTCTGATTAGTGGGAGTCTCGCACAGGACTATAAACACTGCGAAACTTGTTTCGGATTTCAATGTAGCAGAACACTAGGGGCTGCGTCTACTAGCATATATCTAAGTTACTACTATTATTCAAGGTTTATTGTCAAATGTTTAAATCTACTGTTAGACTTATAATGTTAGAAGAATCTTGTTGTATTTTATGAATTGTGTATTTTTTTTTTTGTATGTTTATTTTTATTTTGCTTTTTTATTTGGGGCCGCCAAAGTCACTTTGCCCCAACTACACAAGGCCGTTATACAAAGTGATGGTTAATTTAACTATGCATTATATCAAAGACCTAACACCAGAGAAACTAGACAAAAAGTCATCTCGCTCGCATTTGCCAAGTGACAAAGGCATACTAAAGATTCTTATTAAAGATGAATTATTTTTTTAATAGTTATAAGCTCACAAAAACAGTTTCAACGTCGACATTTTCTTTGGGGGTTTCCCTGGTACTTGATACTTTTAATGTCCCTGTAAATCATGCTCTTGTCTTGCTATCAATTAACATGCTCGACTAGATTAGGACGTAATTATCTTCTATTCTGAAGGAACGTCTGTAATTTATAAAATAAGATGTATCCAAAAGTGCGTACTAAAGCCTACCTAGCAAGTAGCATATACAAGTTTTAAACAGTTACAGCTTTAGCATTTATATGGTTCTATTGTTGGCAATAATTACTATAGTTACAAGATAATTGTCAAAAATAGTTAGTATATTTGGTCATTGCATACGGAATAAGATTTTTTTTTTAAATTTCAATATTTGATTCCCTACAGCTCTCAGCTACGCCGTGGCCATCATTGTCTTTGCTGGTTCATTCGACTCCTCCTTCACTGACGCCGCCTCACCAAATCAGCACCTAGAGTACGGCTGGGGCCTCGCCATAGTGGTGGCCGTTTTGCAGATCTTTGTTGGGGCCCTGATGATCTTTGAATCCCGAAACACGGGAGCCAAGTTCATGGATTTATAGTGAAGTTGTAGTTTTGTTCAATGGTTGACTCAAGTCACAATTATGCGTGTGTGTGTGTGTGCACGTAGATATTCTTAAGGGAAGCCACTCTAAGCACTTTTGTTTCCATTTAATGCCCCCCCTCCCCCCCCACATTAGTGAGGCTTACGTTTGTATCATACACGTAAGTATGTCAGTTGATAAACATCAATAGACATTTTTCATTCAAACCGGGGCCACAAGGGGACGAAAAATAGAAGTCTGGTGTTCTTTTTACACGCTTAAAATTACCTCCCTTTTAGTGTTGAACTGTCGATGAATTGACGCCCCTCTCTCTCCGCCCACCCCCATCCCACTCCTCAGTGTCTTGGCCGACTACCACTTTTAACATAAATGTAATGTTATCATTCATAGACATTATCTGTAATGTTTTTTTTTTCTTAAATTATGTCCCCTTAAGGTGTTTTCCGATATTGTTTGATAGATAACAGGAATTATTTCAGACATTATGATAATTGAGTCACCGCGAAATCACAACTAATGTTACATGTGTTTCGAGGCGGAGTGATACATTGATTTGACGCAGTTCTTTTACATACATAGATTACAGGAAAAAACCTAGCGAGATGATATGTCTCTTATGTCAATACTTACTTAATGATTGATTCAAGTTTCTCTTGTATATATTTCGAGATGGAGTGCGAGTTTAAAATATTTAATATTGAGACTATTTCATTAAAGTTTAAAGCTTGATTGCGAGTTCAGTAATTTGTTTTTAATCGCCTATTCCATTTTAATTAAATTGCCATAACATAGAATAAAGACAGATCAATATTGTGATCGTCTGAATGTGCTGGAGTCCAGACAGGGAAGGCAATGTCATATATATTCAGAATAGGTAGTGTACGTCACAGAAAAGTCTGAAAGTCTATGTGTAGTAACTGATGGTTTCACGCGAGTTGTCAAGTCAAGCTGGCTTGTGTAAACTCTACATTGGGCCTCGATGGTCCATATTCAAGGCTGACTAATGTGAGCTAAGGGCAAACCTTAACAATCAATCAGATTTTAATGTTATGCTGCCCGTGAAATAAAGATGCAGAGGTTTTAATGTTATGCTGCCCGTGAAATAAAGATGCAGAGGTTTTAATGTTATGCTGCCCGTGAAATAAAGATGCAGAGGTTTTAAGGTGATGCTGCATTTGAAATGTATTTCGAAAAATTATGTTCCTCAAGCAAATAAGGTTTGGACCTACCGTGTTTTATTATAACATTAAGAAAATGCAATTAAATACACACAAAACTGGATATTGAACTTATTGACGGTGTTTTATCATTTCGGCGTATTACATCAAAGGGAAATGACAATGTATATACGAATATACCGTAACCCGCTATAGGTGATGTCTTTGCATTGTCAACAACAAAGTGAAAAGCGTGATACAAATATTCAAATTAGATGTACTAAATTTTTATATATATGACGCACAGTGATTAAAAACAAACAAACAAACAAACAAAATTACTACATTCAGAGATTATGTAGTGTAAATGATTTATTTATAAATGCTGACAGGGAGGTAATAGAAACATGTAACATAAATTGCACATTAATTAGATTACTGAATAGCGTCCCTTGCATCTCCGAACTGGCTTAGCAAACTCCATTCAACGTCAGCGACTCGGTTGATGGTACTGATAAATTTGTAGTGCTCAGTGTTGTATTTATTCTTAGCGCCCTAAGACACACGAGAAATGTTTAAATATAGAGCAATAGTTACAAATAACAAGTGAACTTATGACTTACGATAATAACTAGAAAAACCTTTTTCAAAACAAAAGCGAAACATTATTTTTTTAACAAGCAATGAATATAGAGTATGTACATATACAACTACGTTTTTAAAACCACGTTTTTAAAATATTATATGACTCTTTTCAAATTCCTTCATTGACATGGAGATTTCCACTTAAGCGGACTACTATAAAAAGATGGCTTTAAATACCAGTTTCTGGTGTACAAAATATCGAACAAATTCTAACTCCACTTCCCACGTAGCACCTCGGTGGAAGTAGATAAGCAAATAACGGGTAGCGAATCTAGCCTCCCTCAATTATCTTGGGTTGAGCATTTTTTTTAAAGACTCTCCAGTGTGAGAATGAAAGAGAGACCGGACCACCCAGCTCAACACGTTCGCCACGCCGTTCCATACAGGGGCAATCACCAATGTCCCCTTAGCTGGAGTGACGGTACTTGCACGTCGTTACAGTGCTAGGAATAGGAAGAAATTTCCCGGGATTAGAAGCGGTCTTCGGCAACTTCTGGCGAGGAGGGACAGGAACTCTTCGTAAGTGTATGACTCAAACGTAGTTTGCCTAATGGTCACTTCCATTGTTGAACCGTCCGACAGGACTTGGAATGAAGAGCTCGAGTTCGAGCCTGTCCGTTAGAAAAAATCCCACCTAACGATTAATCGGATAATGCTTTTGGCGCTCCTATTCCCTAATGGACTTTTTCAAAGATGTGCAGGCTGTAAGAACTTGTGTATATTAGAAGGTAGAGCTATATAATTTCTTTAAAAAATTATTGATGAAATCTGTTGTTTTTCTAAGTAAACATACAATCAAGTAGATCCTTCTTCGTGGTCAAAGATGAGCACTATCTCATTTTCTATGAAGAATGGATTCCCTCTCACTGTGGAATCAGAGGAAACGAGAAGGCTGACAGTTTGGCGAAACTAGGAACGCCTCTAGACCCACCAGAGGAGCCGCAAACATACGAGAGTGCAAAAGCGAGGATTTGTGAGTGGATCAAGTCCAAATTATACAAAAGCTGGGACATTTGTATCACGGGACGGGAAGTCTGGAAAGTTCTCAAATGCCCAAACAGGAAAGACGAGTGGTGGCAGCTAGACAGAAAGGACCAAGCAATTTTGGCGCAATTTTGGCACAATTTCGTACTGGACACTGTCCGATAGTATCCTACTTCGCTAGAATCCGAGAGAACCACGATCCCAGATGTCGACACTGTCACACGGAAGGCGAGACAGTAGAACAAATCCTCTACGACTGCAGGGTGCTTAGAAACACACTAGTCTTGAAACAGAACTGTTGCATGCGGGGGTCTCACCATGTACGGAGACAAGCGAACCCTACAGAACACTTGCAGATATCTGGACCGTGCTTTAAGGGATTAATCTCATTACTGGGCCTTAGAGCATGGAAGCTTACAAATGAACTCGAAGATGCTATGAAGTCCAAATCATCTCTTTGAAAAGCCGACCGCACACATGGTACGGGTAGGTGTTATGACATGATTAGGAATTAGTTATTTGTTTCGGGAATAAGGGGAAAGTTTTACTTAACGACAAATGACGTGACAGATCTGTAAAAAACAAGAACGCTCTTAGTGACGATAGAAAGAAGACGCTTCGTGTAGAGCAGTAGAATAGATATACGAATTTACGGACATAGATGACATCGGACGATTCCCTTCTTAGTTATTAAATATATTTGTAAAACAACATCAGAGTCGACTACCTATTTTGATTGTTTCGGCCTTTCGCCGGTGTTACTGAAGTAGTTCGAGTTCAGCATTACTTCCAGTCAGACATAGATCTACACTAGATATACCTCCAAGCATCAACACCGCGCGGAAGCCTGAACATAGGTTTCGTTTTTTTTGTGTGTGTGTGTGAGGTGATTTCCATCCTCTCTGCCCTCTAGCTTGGAACAAGAAACAACAGTTTCTAACTCCAAAGTTCTCAATAAAAAAGTCGTTTAGGAAAGACTAAAAAAACCCCTCAAACACTTTATAGATGACGTATACCTATTTCAATGTTCAGACTTGCTACCAACCTGATTTTTCGAAGCTCGTACTTTCAACAGTAGATTGACCATCTCGGTGACCATGTCCATCAGCGACTCTTGGCTGTAGCTGGTGTAGTAATGCAGGTTTCGGGTCCACACCGGAACTCTGTCCAGGAGAAGCAGACGTGAAAGATAGAGGGCAGCAGCTGCTTTCAGTGAGGGTAAGATGGGCATCAGGTGGGCGCTGGTTATGGTCAAGTCTAGCAGATATTTGGCGAGGTACTCGACCTTCAAAATAATTCATTCATAATTAGAGACGTTTTAATTAGTTTTAGAGCTTCAACAACAAGGGTGGTAATCTACTTCACAATATAGAATGTTACAACATACACAAATTATAAAATGTCATTAGTACTAAGCTGTTACAAGTTATTATAACATTATCTTTGTAGATCTATATAATATTCGATACAGCTCTTTTGGCTTATAACTTTTTATAGAATTTTGAATTTTGTTTTTTAAAATGAGACCTATATAAACATAAATAGGATTGGATCGCTATTCAATGGTATATTGAGATACTCTGAATCCCATGAAAATTATAGCATAATTAGATCTGCATTGTTATTGTGAATTAACCTCCAACAGGTCAAACTCGTATGTATCTAATTCTTTTGAGCTGGAGTTTTGAAGATCAGAATGCAAATATAAACACATCAGATAAAGAAAATATTAAAAGAAAAACAAGGTTCATGGCTATTGGAAGCACTAGTTCGAATGATGATCTTCTAAACTTTCAACTTGAGAAAGAAAGGAAGGAAAATAAAATAAAGAAGCATTTCTGTACAGGCCCAATGTACATTTTGTTGTAGGTGTGATACTGGGCGAGTTCTATTTGTAATGTGTTTCTATCTAATAGAATGTGGAAGTACTGATAACCTATGTATGGCAACAATGATCTTTCAGAATAGCTTCCTGGATTTTGTATAATTTGTCTATTTATTTCAAAATCTCTCCCAGTCTTACTGTTTAATTTTCTAACTTTTTTTTTTAAAGTATCATATCGCCCCACATTTTGTTATATTGCTTTCTCTTCTTTTTCTCTCTGACACTATTTGATTGTTTAAAGAAATTGTTGATTTGATCAGCTTGGACGTTCCTTCAGAGATGAAGATTATTACGTCATAGCCCTAGTTTCGAACTCGGGGCCATCACGACGACAGGCCAATTGCATACCACACGACCAGGCAGAGATGTCTTAAGAATATTAATCGCGTCTGAATATCAAAACAAACGAAAAGAAGTTTACTGTGATGAAATAAATGCTAAAAATCAACCAATGGAAAACAGAGTGCCTTTTATTTCTGTTGAATATGCACAGTGTAATTCACTTTATGATTGATGCAATATGTTACCTCTATCGGATGATTGTGGGCCTGGAGGAAGCGATCCAGGAAAGTCACACACACTGGCTTGGACAGATCAAACTTGAGCGTACTTAGAATCAGTCTCTCGTAGAGGAGAACTTCCGACTTGACAAAAGTGTTGTCCGTGAGGTAGCAGAGTGTTGAGACCTGAAGACAGAAAGACTATTTGATACCAGAGCTATATGAGTAATAGTATTTCAATAAGTGGAGCTAAATACACATGTCCGTTAATGTGGTAAATAAGGCATTGTTCTTTGTAGTTTCAGAAAGAAAACTTAAATAGACCGCCAGCGGAAAACGGTTTGTCTGCACGAAATGCGGGAAAATATGCAGGTCGCAACTGGGTTCGCGTAGTCATGTGAAATACCTCACTCATCCTTAATCGTCCGCATTGACGACATTGCCCTTTAATTAATCTTATAAATTACAGAAGTTTTTTAAAAAAAGATGAGTATCCATGTGTTGATCTAGTCGTGTATGTTAATCAGTCAAACCTCTATTAAAATGTGTATATTCTGGCAACCC